GGATAGTCGCCGCACTTTAAATTACTGCTTTCAACTTCGGTGCCAAATAACTTTTAAAACAAAAGCGTTGTAGTACTTGTAGAGATTTGCTCTTAGTGACTTGCGCAAATTCCCAGCGGTCAAGCGGTTGTGGTGGTGGGTACTAAGAGCAATGATAGCCTTTTTTCAATTGAACTAACTAGCTTTTCAAAAACGAAAACGGAAAGGCAGAGTTCAGTTTGTTTTTAGCCTTATTTTTCACCATATGATCTTTCTCGAACAGATGATTATACATAATTTTCCACCTTAGTTTTGGAGACGCAGATCAGTCGACAATGCTTAGGGTATTTTCAAAGTTAGCTAAATCGGAAAATTACAGAGAAAATCTCTCAAAGCCTTTTCCTGCAAATTTAAGCTGTAAGAAAAAGGTTTTCTGGGGAATCGGCTTTCCAGAAACCGTTTTTTATGATCTTAGGTGTTGATTTAAGCATGATTCGATTTAACTATCATCAGCAACCTAGAAAAAAGTTTGTGAAGGAAAAATCACCTTTTTGAGGTTTTTCAGTGGTCAAAAACCGTAAGGTTTTCTGGAAACCCAACTCTGAAGTTCTGTGCAACTCTAAAAAGTGTTCTTTATGAAAGAGCATATGCGAAAACCTATAAATACTAATTTTCAAGTGGTTTGGAGCTATTTAACACCAATGTTGACTTGCCTATCAGAAATTGCTCACTGTGGGTAGGCATGCACCGGTTATGGTTAAGGGTAACCGGTCATAACCGTAATCGTAACAACCGGTCGAACGGTTAACCGTAACCGTGAATAACCGGTCGAACGGTTAACCGTTACCGTAACCCAGGCCGTGAAAAATGAGCCATAAATGACTCATTTATGGACCATATATGGCTCATTTTTAGATCATATCTCTCCCACATTTATCTCATTTATTATATTATAATATAGTGATAATTTTGTCATTTTTCTATATGGACTATAAACGATGGATGCCGTTTGTTTGTACGAACGACGCACTAATGCACTTAAAATGCAGAAAAATGGTCACTAACGTACACGCGGAAATCAGTGTCATTAATAGCAGGATACAAAATAATCTTAATCAACTTTCGCTCAAAGAATCCAAACAAGATTGTATATACTATTCTTTGTTTCCAAATAAATTATTCTTTATTTTTCTACAATCAGTACACGAAGCTGTTATGAAGCGGTTATTTATGGTTACGGTTAACCGTTCGACCGGTTATTACGGTTACGGTTAATAACCGTAACCGTGGCATGCCTAACTGTGGGATGCATTGAATGAAGGGCGATCAGTAGGCTTTTCCGGCTAAACCCTTGTTGGATCTACTGGAATGAAAATCCGTTATCCGTATCGCTTGTGACACCCTCAACCCATGCACGGTAACGATAACGATACACAGTCACTTGCGTATGAATACAACTATGATTAAACACTCGGAGAGACAAAGTTTCACGTTCTATGAATTCAAAAACCGAAAAGATCAGTACCAAAATTCGAAGGTTTGAATATGACTGAATTAGATGGATTTGCTCAATTAAATAATGTATTGGTAATAGGTACAACTAATTTTCCAGAAACTATTGATACAGCCCTTACACGACTAGGACGACTCGAAACACTTATCAAAGTTGAATTACCAAGTGAAAATGACAGACTGAAAATTCTTGATATATACACAAGATCGATGTTACAAAATCATTTACTTGATAATGATATTGACATAGAACAAATACTTTTTGGTACGCACGGTTTAACAGGAGCACATTGAAAAAGGTTGTTCGGTTGGCTGTGAATAACGCTCTTCGAAGAGATGTTATTGAACATGGTACATTAGATATCGGTGAAGATTCAGCAAAACAACTCCGAATTCATAATTCAGATTTTTCAATTGCATTAGAAAAGGTTCAATCAAAGACATCAGACTTTTATAAGGGCGAAACAAATGATATGTAGTTATTAAACATACATTGTTATTTTTAATTCAACGAAAAATAGCTTTCTCTGTATATGGTAGATTTTTTCATTCAGAAAACAGCTTTGTGTAATAAATTTAGATGCTCTAGAAGCTTTGAGATTGCGACACCCTCAAGAAAAAGGTCGCTGTTAATAAGAAAATTGAAGAACAATGGGTTATATATTTTGAGGCTGAAGTTTTATAGGTAATTTCACGGCCGTTCTTCTACTGTACTTTATGAATCACTTTTATTGAGAAAAAAAATTACTTTTGATTATACAAGAGGATCACACCCCAAAGTTCAGTGGTCTGACCACCTCTGCTCTCATCAAATTTCCTATGGATCCAAAAGTGACCTAATATGCTCAAAAAAGGATGGCAATTATTCTGGCATATTATTTTGGGTGTTTACGTCACTTTCTTTGGGTGTTAGTGGGTGTTCGTAACGGAAAGCCCTAAAGAATCCTCTTTGAAATAAACTTTTTCGATGTTTGTTTATTCACAAAGAACAGGTCTATCGACCGGCTATCTCGGATTTTAATTCAGGGGTATTAGTGGGTGTTAGCGTATTTTAGTAATACCCCGTTGAAAATGCAAAAAAAACGAAAGTTAAAATAGGAATATTCGTGATTATATTGTATTATTCGTGTGACAAAGTAGAAAGCACAGGTGAGACGATAGTTCATCAAGAAAGTATCTCAGTCACTACGAACATCAATTCGGATCGATATTAAAACGTCGTACTCGATTATTCTCTGAATCAGCGACATAGAGATAGCCATCTCTATCGAATGCCAAACCCTTGGGACATTTCAGCTGGTTTGTTTCGTCACTTCCCTGCGAGGTTGCGTTGGGCCAACGTAGTACTTGATCATTCCCTGAGTCTGCTACATACACAGTGTCAAGCGAATCGACAACTCCCGCCGGACAAAACTTCGGATCTTGATCACCACCCACGAGAGAGCCTATTCCATCTATCTGCGCCCATTTCATCACACGACGGTTGCCGGTATCCGACACGTACACTAAACCAGCACGATCGACAAATATGAAGGTAGGATTATGGAGCTGACTAAGTTCAGCACCAGGTCTGTTGCTACCTGCCACCAATATTCCCTCCATCGTCCTCGTATCCCTTTCAACTGACCATTTTTTGACCTGACCCATCCTTTCGTCAGAGACGTAGAGAAATCTCGCATCGTCCATTGTCAAACCGTAGCAGTCAATGTTCGCGATGATTGTTTCTCCTACTATCCCATCTCGACCGGGCCATCGCACCACTCGTCGGTTTCCCTTGTCGCAAATGATGAGAAAACCGCCTTTGTTATCGACAACTACATCTGTTGGGCGATCCAACTGGTTAGACCCATTTCCTTTTCCATTTCCGCCAGCAACCACTTGACCACTCATCTCGTTACACTTCCATTCCACAACACGGTGATTTTCTCGGTCAGCGATATAGAGAGTTTGATCTTCAATACACAAACCGCACGGACCATCCAGTTGAAACTCCACATCAATATCGGGGCGTAAACGTGCTGAAACGAAACAAATTTTCACATAAAAAGGAAGCAAAATCAAGCTTAAAAATTCTCTGTAAAGACACATATCTTCTAAAGTGACAAGAAATTTTTAAACAAGTTGATTGTAAATGGGAAACAAACAAATAGATTTCTACAACGCAATAAATTTCAAAACTAAAATAAAATGATTGACGTATGTGTATTTAAAGACTAGAATTAAAAAGAAAGTTTTCTCAAAGGATCAGAATTGAAAGCGAAAAAGCATCGATTTCAAAGAAGAAAAGAAAAAAGCATTTTCACAAGTACCGGAATTTAAGAGGGGACCCCCCTTCCCCTTCTTTGACGAGGACCGTTGGTCACCAACCAGTCCTGTTTTGCATCCTTTGGACTACTCGAGCGGGGATGAACTTGTTCACCTCATCAAATGAGACAATGTGAAGTTGTAAGACGCTGCTCGACGAATTGAAATGAGCTATGAAGCGAATTACACCGGAAATGGTATTGCAAAGATGTTCTTCGTAGGTTCCTCTTTTGAATCATCAATCGAAGAATGGTGGAAATTACTTGTATTAACAAAAGCATACGATTTTGTATAGAACTACATGATGAATGTTTTGAAAAATGTTCAACTAGCAAAAATTGAGGGAGACATTGGCGGACTAGTAATATTGCCGTTCTTTATTACGCGTCCTCAGATCCTAAGCACAAAAAATATGGACAATATTTCTACACTGTTCGTTATAACCTGTAATGTTTCATCGTTAATTTCTAAATCTTAAACTCAGATTCATCTCTAGAATAGTCGTTTTTGGTCAAATTAATTCTATTTGTTTTTCATGGGCTTTTCTTTCATAACTCCTCATTTATCTTACTATCTTTTTTTGCACTTAAGAATCGCATTTTTGAATCTCTCGATTTGAGCATTCTTAAACAAACTACTTCTTCGCACTGAACGATCTCGTGCTCCGAAACCTTTCCTGTTCATCCCGTACAAAGAAGCTTATCCAGGTTCGTTTCGCGCATTGAGTATTGATTTGATGTTGATGCAGCTGCCATCTCTGCAGACAAAATAAAAGAAATTGTCAAATGCTCTCCTAAGTAACAGGTATTGCAACATACTTCATAAAATACACACCTTAAACACTAAGTGACAAATTATTTGTATCTTAAAAATAAAGAAAAACTTAATTCATCCCCCAATATTAGAAGATGTCCTAAAACACATGATTAACTGGATGCAATAGAAGATCTCCTTTCTAAATAAAAAACTTTGAGTATCTACAATAAAAACTGAAAATACGTTGAACTCTTAGTTTCATGGTTTATAGAGTAAAAAAACTTGAAAGCAATAAAAACTTCTTAAAAACTTTTCCTAAAACTAAGAATAATGACGTTTTGCGAACAACACATATACGGTAAGCATGTGAAAATGAATAGAACATCATAAAAAATCCTATCAGAAAGTTTTTGTATCAGATAATAATCGAGGGGCCGAACTCTTCAAATACAGACAAGAGAACTGTGGAACAGACAAATACCAGTTAGATTTTCAAAAAAGATGGTTGATCAATTTTATGGATATATACAGAGATTCGATCAAGCTACCTAGAAGAGTTTTATTTTGCAGAAGTGTGATTATTTCTTAAACGAAGTATTCATCAGTTCGAAGCGTTCTTGATCAAGTAGTTTCTCAAAGAGAGCTGTCGTTATAATGTTCTAGAGACGACTAATTGACAGAATAACTATTGTTATCTCTAATCGAATCGCTTCCATTTTCTAATTTACTTAGCTTTAGTTTGACTGACGTGCACTTCGAACTTTTACAAAAATATTGTAAAGTAATATTGTAAGTTCAACTCAATGCCCAACTTATTTTACGTAGAAGCGTTGTTCTTGTTGTGTCAGAATGTCTACAATTCGTACTGTATCTCGTAACGCACGGTGTTCTTATAGGTTGATCTCGCAGTTGTTGGAAAAAAATATCAAGCACGACATTTTCCGTTTCACGATAAGAATAATCAATATGAGTAGGAAATGCGTCAAAACTATTTGCGTGGCATATATAAAGTTTCTTCTTCACCTATCGATCAAAGTTGACATTAACGGCAAACAGTGATGAGTTAGAAGTGGTGCCATAAAAACAAAATAAGTAGAAACAAAATACGTTGCAACTATCATGCACGCAACATGATATTTTCTTATCTCTTATGTACGAAATGGCACAGTGACGTATATTTCATTGCACTTCCGAAGGATGATATCAATTACTGCATAGTTTCTTAAAAAGATAGATAAAACACGAACAGAATTGATTTACAAGCGTTTTGAAGAACATTTTGAACGTTTTTTGAGTTCAAGCCGACTTTTCAAGACTTGTTTTTGTCATTTTCAAGATAGAATATTCAACAAAGAAAATTTCTGATTACTAAGACATTTTTTACTTCCGTCGATTTCTATTGATTTCTCATGATTTCTGACGGTATCCAATAATCTGAAATCCTATCAATACTGCTTGTATTTTCAATGAGGACCTGAATATTACAACTAAGATGTGGTTATGTAATCGGTTATCAGTTATAGTCTAATTATAACGGGTCACCCATAAAGAATGAAACACTTTTATTTTATTTTTCAAACACCAGAAGCACATTTAAACATTCCATTCTTAATTCGACGAGAAAGATTTCGACGTCGACAGCATCTACAGCGTCCCAGAAAATCAAGGTGTGGAGAATGAATCTCTTCAAAGCCAATAAGAAAAAGAAAGGACAAGAAGCAGAAATACAAGTTTCTCCAAATATCACGATGTGACTGGACGTCTACTCGAAGGGTATCACACCTCTGGTTATTTTCGAGAAAGGAACCGCTGATTACACCGGCCACACCAAAAAAAGTTCTAACCGTGATTCAGAAGGACAACAACACCAATTGCCGAGACCAACATCATTCGAAGATATAAAAAAAGATAGTTAAAAAAGATGTAATTTCTCATAACTATAGAATGAGAAAAATACGTTTTTCATCTGATATGCCGTCGTCGACTCATGGAGACAAAACAAGTTTAAAGACCGCATTTTTTACCATCATCACACACGCACGTTGCAATCGCATAAGTTTATAATGTTGTTCTTTTTGTTCTTGCTCAAATGTAGGCTCAAATATCGGAAGCTCAGATGCAAGGAGGTTCATTTGTCGTGCAAGTTAAGACGATCAAATGATCGTCATGTTTAACTATTTTCTTAGTTGCAGGCACCGATGTGTTTTCCTATTTTAAAAAAAGCGATTCATTTCCATCTCACATTCTTCGGCTTCTTACTTTTTGCTTTGACATACGAATGACTTTTGAACTCAAAATCAAAGTAAGGATAACGGTGAATATCATTCACATATATTACCTATGAGTTTTATTGATGAGAGAACGCGTTTACCGTATATGAAGAACACATTCATGCGTAGACTTTCTGACAAATGCGTATCCGCACATATTAAGTTATAGTCAGTTCATGATAGAGTCATTCTGGCATCTTGTAAATGGAGCGACAATTCTCGGTGTACCAGTAAAACAGAACCGAACTATTTGTCGTTATATACCAAAAGACTGAAATGGTATAACAAGTTTACACATTTTTAACAAGATTTCTCCAGATGTATTTCCCCCATTATGAGATTTATTGCTCAGTTGCCGTGTTTGAATGAGCCTATACAAAGCAAGAGATCGACGATTTTTCAATATAACTATCTTTTTCATTTTTTTAATTATTCAAAACGATGAATATACTTCTATATGATGATAAAAAAATGGTATGGATCATACTAACTTATTATCATCTACGGAAAAACACAATTTACGTAGATCATTCAATCATTTGAACTAGATTAATAAAAAGCGAGAACAAAAACATTGTAAGGGACAGACACTGTTCGATAAGAGATAAGAAAAGAATATGATAAATATCATAGATATCTCTATGTACAAAAGGGAACGTGTTGCGTATGTCGATGATATACGGAAATAGTAAGACATTCAGTATTTTAAAAATAGTTCGAATTCAATTTTTTGATATCAGGAAACTACCTTCTCTAATATTTAATTTCTTTCTTCGATTTTTTTCTTCTTATTTTCATCTTGAACATAGAGAAGCTAGAACTAAACACGAAAAAAATCTAAATAGAAATATATATTTTCTTAGTTAGTTAGGATTCAAAAAAACAGCAGCAACAATATCAATATGATTATCATTTTAAAATCTTTTAGTTCATACGAATGAAAAAAGTGAATTTATTCAAAAATTAAATGATTTATTCCAAACATCATTCGAACAATTGACGTTGAATAATTTATTTTTAAAAATTTATGAATTGTTCATTCAACATCAACAACTTGGAAATATTGATGATATTTTTCGACAATTAAATGAATATAATTATCTAATAACAAATTATGGTGAACAATCATTTGAAATTTTACTAAAAAATTTAAATACAATAATTTCTATCAACAGAAGTTAGATCATTGTCTTAGTAGATGGAATGAAAACTTTGGTATGAATGAAGAAAATTTAACAATCGATACATTAGAAACAAATTTGTTCACAAAATTTAAGTAAGAGTTAACAATTAGTCTAATACAAACATATTTTTCTAATGAATTTTTTCTCGTTTTAGTACTATCGTGTTCAAATCAATTTCTTCAAGATTGTTTCAACTTATTTAGAGAATCTGATCTAACATTTGATAATTTGTTTTCAAAATTAAATCAAATTATGTATCATCAGCAAAAAATTGATTCGTTGCTTCGTTTTTATAACTGTAATAATATTGATACATTAGAACAATATTTAAATCAACCGGAGCAACAACAACAACAATATCTTGTTCAACAGTTAAACAATTCACAAGAACGACAAACTCAAAATGATCAATTTTTTGGTCAATGTCAACAACTATTTACGTCTGACTATTCTCTATAAATGATCAACTACTTCGAATGACATTGGATACGGAACTACTTCATTCGGATAATTTAGCATTAATCGAAAAAAAACATCAATTAGAAATGCAGTTGGATCAAATGATTGAACAACAAACGTCAATGATAAATATAAACAAATACAATGAAATAGTAATTGAATAATTAAAATTTACTTTAAAAGAACAACAAAAGATTAAACTCAATGTGAGAGACGACGAATCACAGACGATAATGAAAGAACAAAATGATATTGCTCTTCAGATATTGGTTGATATGAACGATTGAGGGGTGGATTATAGGATAGATCACAAACAGACTTCATTCATCCAGTGTTATTATCTTCGCATATCGGAGCAGTTCTTTTTCAATCAGGCAAATTCGACGAAGCTGAAACGTACTATAAACAACTGATACAACACGTGAATAAGTTAATTTATGTGCCTGAAGAAACGAGCGACCAATCAGAAGATGAGCAGCCATTACAAACTGAAAATTAGAGCTCAGGAATTTTGCGCTTTCTCAAAGATCTCGTCGCTAACAAAAAAAAAGATGAAGGACACTTCGAATTTGGAAAGAGAGACACGATATCACTGTGTTATTATGCGTTAGGTCGAATAACATTCGAAAAAGGACTATTTGAACACAGTGTTGAATATTACAAAGCGGTATTAAATCGAATTCCACCCTCATTTATGTCACATGAACAACCCAAACATAGTCGAAATCATGTTCTTCGTGCTCTTTCTCATCTGGGTCTCGCTGCGACATACGAGTTAAATGGCAAATTGAAGTGTGCATTTCAATTATATACTAAAGCTTTATCAATGTTCGAACATGCACACGATGGATTAATTGATAAGCCACTTGGTAGTTCAAACTTCACTTATGTGCAGAAAGCACATTGTCTTATCGGTTTAGGAAATCTCCGTTTGATCGAACAAAAATATCAACAAGCCGATACGTACTATCGAGATGCGTTGTTGTTATTTGATAAATATTTACCTGCAGGTCATCCGAATCAATCGCGTATTCGACAAAAGATAGCTAACATCATAGAAATATATCATTATAAACCAGCTGTGGCTTTAGAAGATTACAAAGACTGTTTGGCAAATTATTTATGTACTCTACCTTCCGATCATGTCGATATTGCGCGAGTGTACGCAGATATGGCTCGTGCTTATAAACAATTGTCCAATCAGCTAGAGACAGCTCTAGAATATGCTAAGAAAGCTAGAGCTATTTTCGAGAAAAGTTTGCCGAAAGAACATACAGATAATCTTACGATTTATTGAATTATCGAACAGATTCAAAGAAAGTTGCATGCGCAGAAATAATCCTTCAGTTTTACAGTGTCTGTTAAAAAAGCTTTTCGTAACTTTGATTTAATAAATTGTATGCCCTTGTCAACAACAAACTGTCGCCATTGGCCTAACATTTACAACAATCTTTGAAATGATCGAGAGGACCCATAGAAATCTCTAGGAGAAAAGGATTTTGTATCATTTAAATATGATCGAATATCTTCTCAAAAAATAGATCACACCATTCAAAGCCTGGAGTGTAATTGTATTCTATCTTTCATACTTATTTTTAGGCAAGTCTCAAAGTCTACAAATTATCCAAGAAGAATCACATTGGTTAACATCTCAAAAAAATGTTTTTGACAATCGAACTGTATAGGAACTTTTCTTCCTTGATTATACCAATAAAGAAATATCGCAACTACAACAGTACTGGGTGAGTCAAAATGAATGGACCTCTCAGTATTTTTCATGTAATTCATTCATATTTCAGTGTTTAAGATTTTCTTTGAATCTGTTCGATAATCCAATAAATCGTAAGATTATCTGTATGATAATTAGTCAGGATATTAGTCAAAAAGGATTTGTCTTTTATCTAAAACATTGTTCTATATTGTTATCGTCAAAATAGAGTATATCTTTGATTGTATCTTCTTCAGCCAACTTCCTTTCTTGGTCAACACTAAAATTTGATTCACCAGTCCAAAACACTGTGAAGAATCTCTTATTGATTGATTCCATCGACGATGTGTACTGCTTTCAAAATGTTTGCACATGTGTATGTAATGAAAAATCGTACTGTAATGGCTTCATTAATGAAGGAAAGAAAGAGTTTTTCACTCGTCAGACAGACATCGCACCATGTAATTATTCGTTTTTTTTCTTTTATACCATTCTGTATTAATAGTCGATCGAAATAAACCATCTTAAGAAAACTTTTCGAAGACATTTTTACTTTTGATAGAGTCAGTCCATCTGAAGACATCGATATTGTTCTTAGTTCCTATTTGATCTATCGATCGCGATCTCTTTGTTTTCATTTGTTCTCTGTTCGGTTGCTATAAAAGAAAAAAAACGAATAATTACATGGTGCGATGTCTGTCTGACGAGTGAAAAACTCTTTCTTTCCTTCATTGAAGAAGCCATTACAGTACGATTTTTCATTCAACTTCTGTCTGCTAACCAGTTCGGTTTTAGACCGAATGCTTCGACCACCGATGCTTTGCTCTTTGTTGCGAACAGATTATTTGACAATGCTTCTAATAATAAGATCAGTATTGGTGTGAGTATCG